ATTCTATTGATGGTTCGATCCTTTTCGAATGCCAGAATTCGTCATATGTAACAATAAAACTTTAGATTTTCTTCAATTACTGTACTCCACCCAATAGACAGATGGAAAGAATACGAGACCTTTTTGCCTAATAGTTAAGGGATGAATCCCTAAAAGGAACTTCCAAATGGATGTGTAAGAAGTCCTACCAATATAGGATATTGTTAATTTCATACTTGAAATTACAATTACAGTGCAAATAAGTAGAGGAACTTTTCTGGGGGAATACTAGTAACTAGTTTATTCTGACAACCTTCAACAAACATAGTTCTAAACACCTGAAATTATATTGAAACGTAATTAAAAAGTCTTCTTATTTCTAAAGTAATCGAAACCTTTAACGTTATATCGGTGTTTTAACACTAAAATGTGGACAATACACATGCGCCTTACCCAGCAGTTCAGCCGGACTGTACCGATCTATCGTCACTACATAGACTACGAAAAGGCAGTCAGAAACTTAGTCCAAAAGAGTCAATGTACGGTAATAAAAATGTTGGCTTAAGTTTGTTTATTAAGTGTCCACTCTCTAGATTACTTGGGGACTGTAAAGTGAGGACCGATTCTCCCTTAAAAAGAGGATTCTAAAGTGACAACTGTTTTCACTGCCGTTTACAAAGAGAACATTCATGACTAAAAAACGAATTAGAGCCAACCAGGTGGTTAGACGTTAGCGGAAATGACTGCTGGGTATCAATGTGGCAGCACCCTTTTTAACAACCCAAATTAGATCATCAACAGCTGTTTCAAATTTCCACTTATCACAAACTACAAAATAACTCCTTCTTCTTCAAAGTATTTGTGTTAATAGATAAGTACAATGTTTAATTCAAAATTTATTAAATTTATATAATAACCTTCGATTTAAATTGAACAACATAAACACACATACAAATACTCAACAAATTCTCAAAGTTATACAAAAAAAAAACGAAATTAATTGAAAAATTAAATGAAAATATAAATAATTGACAATATAACAATAATGTAAGAGAAGAAAAATTGGGAACAACAAATAATAAAGGTTCATTTACCCAAAAACCCCGAAATGAGAAAAACCCACAACTTGAAACAAAGAAAAACGCTCAAAAATAATGTACAAAAAAAAACAACAATAATAAAACAAATATTAATAATTACAGTAAGGATATTACATAGACAGACAAACATACATAAATACACATATTCACACACCGACGTCCACATATAAACCATTTACCAAAAGAACGAACATATTATCCTTGTGAGAATTTTACAACTTTCTGAAAATGGGAATTTTTATTTCATTTTCACTTTTTTGTTTTGTTTTTTCTATAGTTTTACTGATTGTGTTCCATTTTCCAACTCAACCAAAATACAACTGTCAACAAGCTCCAGTAAAAAAAAAACGAAAAATTCCCCCCATTTTAAAACGAAACGAATCAAAACACCTGTGAGTTCGAAAACAATTTCCAAATATAAGCGTTAGGTTGTTGTGGGGATAGGATGGATTGTGTTAAACAGCTATCTATGTTCTCAGAATATTAGAGACACTACTGGTTTCTTCAAATACATGGTTTATGAACAGAGAGTAATAAACCGAAAAACAACTATGGAAAACAACATGTATGGACATGCATAAACACGCAAAGCTCAGGCATAGATACCAAATATTTAACACACATACATACCAAATAAATGAAAAAATAGGAAAACCAGGTTAGAGGTCAGGTTAGATTGATTTTAAATGTACCCTACAAGTTCAGATTTTTGTAATATAATCTATGTATACTGATTCTTAATTATCAGGTTTATAACATAGCCTTTTCTTAGGAAATATTGTTCTGAATACCAATCAACTGTCTGTCAAACTAGCTGGTTCAATCAAGTGTCTTATATCATGAGAATCCTCTATATAAAAATACTATAAAAGTCATTAAACAACCATGATTTGCGAGTGAGAATATTAGGAATAAGTGCAAACTATAGAATGTTCAATATTAGAAGCCACGCCTATAAGGGAGTTATTTTCTTTGAACGACATCGCAAAAAAGGGTAATTTTTATAGTCAACACTTTAGACCAGACCAAAGTTTTTGACAAAGATCCATTTTAAAAATCCTACATATTTCATCACTAATGGTCACTTGTGGCTTCTCAAGGTCCATTCATTCATTACCTATTGATCTAGGCTCAGAAAGTTGCCCTCAACTATGACTGTCACTGGACATACGTCCAAGCTCAATAGTTTGAGAGAACTACCGGATAATATTGACATATCTGCTACCCCAAACTATTTTTTGATAGATACATTTCCGTGTTGATCCAATACCATTCAAATAATATGGAACTAATCATCGTCTTAGATCATATAAGATTTACACAGATAACTCTAAAACAAATAATGTAGCGTATCGACATCAAACTTGATCTTTGAATGCCGAGCATCGAGCATTCCGGTTACTCAATAGATAACTGGTAATAAATAATGGCGGAAACTGGTATTTCACTATGAAGAGAGAATATCAAAATCTTTTTCAGCAGACGACCCCCAGCTACAAAAACTGTAGTATACGAAGATCATGAGGACTACGATCACAAGCCTACCGTTGATAATGCAACATAGTTATCAAATATTGTAGCGCTAATACTTTATGCCGCTACAAAACTTCTCTACATATATTTGAGTATTAGTTTTATAGCGACATAAAGAATCGGCAAAATCACATGTTTCGTTAGTTGACAAAGTGAAATGGCACATGACAATGAATCCAGTTTGAGGATTCTGTGAATGAGATTTTGTATACTCAAGATACACACCCCGGATCATGTTTCCATCATGAATGACCATCTTGGTGTTTTGCAATCCCGGGGTAAAGAAGTACTAACAGTACCAGTCAGTAAAACCAAATTCGCTTGGTTAAAAGATTGATACACGGTGAAATATACATTTTTCGGGTTGTGGTTTGTACCGCTCCTAGTTTCCCCCGGGGCATGTTTGATGATAGCTCCCATCTTGGTGTATTGCTATCCCGGGGTAAAAAGGTGCTACCAGTATCTCTATAAACTGGAGATGTCACTTCACTCCTCGGCTAGTCCTTGGTATGATTTGACATGGGGTCTAACCAGAGAACCACATGGCCAGATTCCCGCAGGACTTGTCCTGGCTGGTCAGTTGGTTGAGGTTCACAGGTCTGTGTACAAAGCAGCATATGCTGGATTACTGTTCCCGATCAGTATTTTATTACCGATCGTGTAGAAGGGAGCCGGTATATGCTGGGGAATTGCCAGGTTAGCGTTCAGTAGTTGCCTGTCATTCCGTAGAGAGATCTTTATGATCATGGGAATGGAACTGATGCAAAAATTGGTGAAAGATTGGGAAAGTCTCCATATATTGGAGATTAGTACTGATTTAGTATGACTTTTTACGCTTCGGGAAAGTTTCTCGGTGCTGTTGCCATCTCAACAGGATATTTTGATTCATGCTACGCGACTATTTGTCGGGGCAATTATTGGGTTCAGTTGACTTTGGAAATTCCTATATCCTTTGTCGCAGATCAGTTCATGAAGAGGGATCCTGGTTTATTATTTTGGATATTTCGGGCTACCAAATATGTCTCTAGATGCTGTTGCCAAACCAACAGAAGCCATCTCAGTAGTGTGGTTGGGCGACTTTAAGAGCTCTAGGAATGCACTGGGGTGAGTCTTTAGATGATGAGAATGTTTTCTAGGGACACGAGAATTCCTCATAACATCATTCCTCATAAGAGATTAGATAGCTCGAGTATTTGAGCAAAGTGCACGTATACTGGACCGGACATCCATATACGTAAATTGCTACCGGCGTGTAAGATGTACAATGGGCGGTGGTGAGTCGTTACTTTTTAGCTCACCCAGTGGATGAAAAAGACCACCGTTAAATAAGGCCAACATAAAGACTTTTCTAAACGAGAACGAAGAAGATTATGGCTCGGTTCCAGGAAAAACATCTGAAGTAACAGCGACAGATCCTACAGTGAAATACCCAAAGCCTAAAGATTTTGATCGCGCTATTTTCCACCCAAATTCAAAAATGAAACCAGTGTGAGGCTACTGTGAACCAGATTTTTGATACTCTGCCAGCAAAGCAACTGGGAACAGGTTACGCTTTCCCAACCGGTTCTCAGGAGGTTCTTTTAATCTTTGGTTGATCAGAAGAGTTTAACTCCCATCTCATATAATGAGTTTTCTAAACGAGAACGAAGACGATTATGGCTCAGTTCCACAACAGCGGCCGCATGACAGATCCTTTAGTAAAATACCCATAGATTTTTATCGCGCCTTATTCCACATAAATTCAGATACGATGTATAGAGTTCTGACGAATTATCAAAGAAACTACTCCACCCTCTTTAAGGATTCAATCTCCTTTTTAGATTGTTTGTGATATCCGTTAGGAAAATCCTGATATCTCTCCACTAAATGTTAAGTATTTCACTTAAATTCAGACACGATTTATAGAAATATGCTGGGAGAGGTTGGACTCTCCCAACGAATTCTAAGGACACTAAAGAAGGACCACGGCCACTGTGAAGCGCTAGTCTTTAGCTCCTTTTAGGTAGAGGTGATGAAATGCTTACTATGGCTCCAAGTTGGACTTCGCTTCTACCAAGAAGACGACAGTAAAATATTGATGCTAGATTTGTATCTTCAGAGTAAAACTTTAAAATATTTGAAATATGTGTTACAAACGTTACCACAAACTTAAATACACCCTCTACTCAAAACACATACTGAACCCATATACTTAGAACATGCAGGACGAAAACAACAACAAAAAGAAAAGAAACAAAAGTAGAAAAAAATACTAATAACAAATAAAATAAAACTGACTGCTAGAATTCATAAAATATTCATGAACCCTAGGTCTTGTAGTTAGTACGAACAAAACGACCGGCAGAGCTAAAAACTCAAACATTAGACAATGACAAAGTTTAGTTGGATTTCGAACGTTCAGGATTTCAAAACATAAAATCGGAAAGAAACTAAAAACGTAAAAAAAAACAAATTCTAAAGAAATAAAAAGTAAATAAATTGAAGAAGAGAAAGGAAAACTATAAAACAATTATAATAGTACTCGACATATAGTGGAAATAATTCAAATTAAAAAAAAACCTCTTTAATTTTACTAATTATCACGTAGTTATTTTTCAAATATTTTAAGAAAAATATTTCAATTATTTTATATAAAAAAGTGTTACAATTTAATTATTTAAAATATAGAAAAGGCCAAAACATGTTGCATGGCAAGAGTATTAAGAAAATTAAGAAAAAATTAAAAAAATTAACCTGGCAAATTTTGTTTAAAACAAAATTCTACTAAATTTTGATTAAAATATAGTTTCAAAAAAATTTTAACATTTCTTATAAAATCATGGGAGAGTTTATAATAAAAGAATTTAAAAGATTTTTGAAAAAGTGTTTAAAAAGATTTTAAAACATAAAAGTTATCAGTTAATATTAAAAGTAACCTAAAAAATTTAATAAAATTGAATTAACATAAATTGTTTTATAACCTCAAAATTTATCCATAAAAATTAAAATAAAACAAATAAAATAGAAAAAGTCGTAAAGAAACCATTAAAATTTTTACTAACAAAATTGTGCCGTGTCAAAGAAATTCCTAAAGCTGCATAATAAAATTAATATACAAAATAAATTAGAAAATAAAATCGAGTTCGTATGAAGTAAAGTAATAAAGACGAAAAATAAAAGGGAAAACGTTAACAAAAACAAAACGGAAATAGCTGTGATTCTGCTATATTGGCTACCGAATGGATAATGGGTATTTGTTTAGACACAGGTGAGTGGTAATTTTCCTTCCTTGTTTTTCTTTTCTGTTTCTTTTCTTCTATTCCCTTTTGAAACTTGTTTTTTTGTAATCACTTGTTTAAGCATAAACCATTTGGAGTGGACAAATAGTAGTACACAATTTCCTAGAGATTTTTAAGAAAATAATTCCTATTCTATTAAAGTTGTTAAGCCCCTGGGCCCACTAGACCCACCAGCTAACGATTTATCTTGAAAATTTTCACCTTTTAAAATGGTTCTTTAGAATGGCTCTAGAACTAATTGTTTAATGAATGTTTTCGAATACTTCAAAGTAGTTATTCTGGGAACTAGTTCTATGGAAATTTAGGAAACAAATCACCTTTTTTGAACCAGTTCTTCATCCAATTTGAAAGATTGGACCATATTTTCAGAACTATTTTAAAAATTTATCAAATTTTGTATATTTATGTAAATACTTTAGACCTATGGACTCTATAAAATCATGATCTCTTACACCCACCTTAAAGTATACAGGTAGACTCAGAATCACTTTCTGAGTCGATTAAGCCATGTCCGTCTGTCCGGCTGTCCATGTAAACCTTGTGCGCAAGGTACAGCTCGCAACTTTCAAGATATTTTGATGAAATTTGGACCATACATGTTTTTTGGCAACTACGAAACCTATTGAAAATGGTTGAAATCGGTTCATACAACCCTACCCCCCGAAAAGGGCTTTAGAGTTCATAATTATGTTAAATATTGTAGTATATACACAAAAATCGGCAAAACTTAGTTCTACATACGTCTTAATACTACCGATTTTCGTAATTATCGGACTTTATTTGACCCTAGCCCTCATACAAAGTCCCCTTCAGAAAATGACAATAATTCATTAATAAACACTAGTATCACGATGAAATCCAGCATACATAACTCTAATGTAAACGTAAAGCCATGTATCAAAATTTATAAGGATAGGGCCATAATTACCCATGCCCCTCTTTTAGAAAATTACTTTTTTCAACAAATTATTAAAATATTTCGGAATTAAGGTAAACAACTTAAATGCTTTGTTATGAAAAATAATCCACATTTTTAACATACTCAGTGTTGTAGGGTATCATATAGTCGGTCATGCCCGACTATACTTTCCTACTTGTTTTGAATACTGCCCAACTCTCGAACGGTCAACACTAAATCCATAGATATTTTGGATAACATCATATAACATAATAAGATATATTTTGAGCAGGTAACTCACTTGATATTTGAATTCTCTCAGCAAATTACTATTTTGGGTTTCAGTGCCTAAGAATGGAATCAGAAACTTTTGCATGAGAATAAAATGCAATAAGCCCATTTTCTAAGTAGCGAACAAATACATATTTGACTCGATCTGGTCTCCTTACTTTTTATATAACTTATATCTAAAGGAAAAATTAATACAACTCTCTCATATATAAGCATTAGATTCGAAGTCTATTTTGAGCTTTTCGACCCGTTCCACACTGTTCTATCGATCTTACAAAAGAATGTATTCCTTTGAATTTGTTCCCTTATTGAAAGGGAAAGTCAAGGCAGATCTTTCAATAAGAACACGCCCATTTGTGAACGATTGACTAGTGAATGAAATAACATATTATAGGGATAATTCATTCTAGATCCGTACCTTCAGTATTTGGACCAAACTTCTTGCAAAAGTAATTCCTCTCAAAGTGCCATTTCTCCGTAGTAAGCTACTAGATTCTACAGCCCCAAATTATGTTAAAGTGAGTCAGCGTTTATCTGCGTCATTTCAAAATCTTACAATTAGAACGACACTCTTTCAGAACATATTATTCATGTTTAATTAGATCCCAAGGGAATGAAGATCAAGGGCTGAATTAGCTATTTATTCTGCAGATGTCGAACAGCTCTTATATGAGAAAAGAAGAGTCCAAAGAGAGTGGCAACTATATGGATCGTCCCAACTCCGCAATCGAATTACTCATTATGGAGAGCGACTAAAGTCTAAAAAGATCATAAATAAGCCACCTACGAAAAATCAGTGGAGGTTGGGCATGAAACGATGCTGAAAAAGGATATATGTAAGTTTGTCGATCGTTTGAACATGTATTTACGCTGAATATGTCTGACGAACTACTAGAGTTGCCATATTCAGCGTAAATACATGTTCAAACGATCGACAAACTTACATATATATATATATATATATATATATATATATATATATATATATATATATATCTATATATATATATCGTTTTTAATGCTCTAGACATTAGACTACAGTCAAAAAAATATTCAAACGATACATTTTTAGTGATCTTCTTATCATCTAGATCACCTTTAATTGAAAGAAAATTATTTTAGCCGAAGCCATCTAATAGTTTTTGATTACATTGTGATCCAAACTCTAAAGATTTTTATAGAGATATTAAGTTAGTTTCGGTTGAATAAGAATTTACTAAAAGCAGCATATCATGAAGATATATAGGTACTAGTAGGGCGCTATCGGGCCAATCTTGGACTGAATTATGTTTAAAGATGAATTATTGTACGATGTTTCGAAAACTAAATTTCCCTCTTAAGGAATATGTCGACAAAGGCTTTGAGATGTCAGAGAAAGTGTTTCTCACGAAATGCTCTATACACGACAGATTCCGCTTATTCAGTTCTCGTTCTCCTTTAGTTACATCGAAGGTTTAACATATGTCATCGGCAAGAAAGGGGTTAATTTACTCGTTAAGGGCAGGGAAATTGAGGAAGTTTATTGCAACTTCCTGGGGTCCTTGTACCGATCAAACTGGTACTGGTACACACTGGTGGCACTTATAGACTAACGGGTCATAACTAACCAATAGCGACCATCAATGTATACTGAACACATTGGAAGGTTATACTCAATCATCGGACGTGCCCTATCGCCTACCAGACACTGAATATGTCGAGAATTTTTAAACACTAACTCCAGATGGAATGTCATGCTCAAGCGGAATAATAAAGCAAATACCCGTAGGAATCCGTTACTACACGAATGGCGGGCCTGGTGTTCTATATTGAAGACCCAGAAATAGAAATATACTACCGTTTACTTAATCACAATACTATTTTAGAGACAGAAGTCCGATCAATAATGGAATGCTAAATTGGGTTATAATAAATATGGCGCCAACAGGGATTAACATATTTACCGACAGCAATTGGGGCGATGTCATATGATTCAAACCCATATTGGATTGTATAAAAGCTTTAAACGAAAACTCTCCGAAAGGTTAGGTTTACATGATATGTGTGCCACTCGGGAGTTGTCGGTAACGAAGGAGCGATTGTACTAGCTTTAAAGGGAAGAATCCCAAAAGGCCTCATGAACTAATGAAAAGATGGGCATAACCACAAAGATTCTATGGGGTGAACCTAACAAGAAGCCTTTTCTGATGCCTATTCTGAGTGGACACACAGGGTAACTATATAAAAATGGGACGTGCGTATTCAGACGAATGTAGAGCATGTAGAGAAAACAGTGAAACTCTGGACCACTTTCATTGTCATTGTCAGGCTCTCACTGAAATTAGATCCTATGGGAATGATATTATTCCAGATGTAAAACCTCTTACAATCACTGATTGGGAAATTCTTAGTACTTACGTCCAGGAAATTGAGTTTCTGAACAACGAACGATAATCAATACATTTCGTGAATAAGGTTTTTGTTTTTAACAAAAAACATTTTTCCAGTTTATTAAATTAAGAAACATTTTCAGTACTGGAAACTGGACATGATAGGAATCTTACAAAGCACGTTTATTCTTACTATGAATATACATATTGCTGTTGAAAACTAACCAACCTTGGATGTATCCCCCGTAACATGGAAAAAACATTACAAAATATATTCTAACACTTGCCAATAATTGTCATTTATCTAAACAAACATAAGTATTGAAATGAAGCAAATAATAAATTAAAGTCAAGGTCGTTGGATAATGATTACACAAATACATTTCAGCGAAAATTGCACCTGACTATATTGCCTATTGAACACTTCCGTTCAATTATCACTTCCGCATGTCCTTAAACAAATATATCTTAATAATGTAAATAAAACAAACGTTACATTTTAAAACCTTCTCTTGTACTCATACTTACACACTCTCTCTCTCTCTCTGCGTCCTTTAGCACACGCATTTACATAATAATGACAAATTATTAAGTTGCTAGAAATGGTGTGGACTACCCGCTTAATAGTTGACCACCCAACCATGTGTACAGTTATTCATTCCTGTTGATGTTATTAATAAAGAACGGCCGGAAAGGGGGTGTTTGTTGTTGTTAGTTTTTTTTTCGACATCCGCTTATTTGTATACATGTGTTTTTGTATGTGTGTAGGAATTTAATTGTATTTTGTAGGTCTATGTTGTTGGTCGGTCATGTGGTCATGTAGTATTTACATGTCTTTTTTTTTTCAAAATAATAGACCATTCCAATGTGTTCCAACTGAATTGTTGTTGTTGTTTTGAGTGATTTTTTTGTTGTCATTCCTCTTATATACGACCTTGATCCTATTACATTTTCTTTCTATTATTATTGTTGTTTTTTCATTTTATCCTTTTTATTTCATTTTCTACTCCTTTTCTCCTTTAGCTTTTTGTGTTTTTCCCTCTTTTTGAGAGAGAAAAACTATTTCTGATGATTATCGTTCTAATTGTAAGTGGATAATTGTATCAAGTACTTGCTACCTTATGAATTATCGCTTTAATTCATTTGTTCATTGTGGGTTTTTTCTATTTTCGTTAAGTTTTTCACCTTGATTTGATTTTAAGATTTTTTTTTCGATTTGTGTTTTTTTTTATTTGTTGATTAATTTTTTATCACAGAAAAAAATTATTTAGGTCAGAACTGTTGCTTATTGTTATAAATTTATTTGATTACTATGATTATATTCTAAATTATGAAAACTTTTATAGCTTTTATGAAAGGGTCGGACGCAACATCAGGCTATTGATGCTATAAGGAATGTTCTTGTCCCTAC